TGGATGGATGGATGGATGGATGGATGGATGGATGGATGGATGGATGGTATACTATATATCATAGTATACTGGTGTGACTACTTCTGAGACCAATTTATGTTCATAAGAATAAAACTGATTGTTTTTGTCATTGAGTTAATTTTGTTTCTTGGTTTTGGTTTTATCTTTTGAGTTTGGTTGTGATTTCTTTGCACTTTGCCTGCTTCCTCTCCAGATATCTGTTAGTTCATCGTGACCATCTGCGGTTCATTTTCCCTTTCACTGCACGGTTTAGTTTGTCACCAGCCTCCACTGCTTCGTCTGCCAGTCCTCCTTGGTTTGGTGTATTCATCCAGTTTTGGATCCTCGTCTTGCTTAAAGGGGGACTTTGGGGCGGGTTCCATTAAAGCCTAAAAAATGAAGATCTGAGTCTTTACTGAAGGAACACATATTCCCCACGTCCTGTCACGCCAGAGTTTTAGATAAGCTTATGTTGAGAAATGACAACGTTAGATATTCTGATCAAATACTGAAAGTACTTTTACACACAATATCATTGTCTCACATAATTCTTGGAGTATGTGTTATCATTCATCCATTCAACCTTTATTTAAACAGATAAGTCACATTGAGCCTGGAAGACTCATTTACAAGTGAGACCTGTTTGGACAGACAAAAACAGTGGTTAACTGGACACATGTAGGAGTTGGAGGCGAAAAAAATTCTATCAGACTTTTTTTTTCCTGCCTGAAAAAAACCCAACCTCTAATAAAAAATAAATAATAATAATAAAATTAAATACATTAAGCTGAAATTTTTGTGCAATATCTGTAAAAATTACTTAAATACAGCCATTTTGTGTTGGCTAATGGCGATTAGCTGTGGCAGCCATATTAAATTGGACTAACTCCAAACATTAACCAGTTGTAAATATTCATCCAATATTTCCTCTCTGAGGGTTTCATAGAAATCATTTCAATGGTGCGTGAGATATTTTGCTAACAGACAAACAGGTCACAACAGTTAATGCTAAGATTTTCGGTGAAGATGTTCAAAGTCTTGAGCTTAAAAAAATCTGATGGGGACGATGCTCAACTATTACCACAGCTAGCTTTAGCTCATTATCTGAGTTAGAAGTGTTTTTGTGTTTTCTTAAACCAGTTAACTGTGGGGGCCATCTTGAATTAAATTAAACACTAAAGGAAATCAGTTAAAAACCTACGTACAAAAATTATTTAATATCTGTCCTATAGTTCATATGGGATATTTTGCTAACAGTCATACAAGGTTGATTCCAGATAGTAATGGACAACATTTTTGCTAAAGATCTTGTGAGTCATATATAACATACGGATCATAAGACGCATTAAGTGAAACAAAACAGTCAAATAAGTCAAACTTTATTCAACTTGTTCACAATAACTCTCAACATTGTTCAGTTGTACCACATAAAATCAGTTTGAGGTCAGTAAGTAAAACAAGGCGCACCTGGTTATAAGGCTCACTGTTGATTTTTGAGAACATTAAAGGATTTTAAGTGCGTAAATACGGTACATAAAATATGTTGGGGACGACTCAGCTTGTATCACACTGAATCAAAATCTGCTAAACTGAATGGGTTGTAGTTGTTTTTATGTTTTTTAAACCAGTAGCTGTGGTAGCCATCTTGGATCAGAGTAATTCAAATGTTAATCAGTACATTCAATGAGTAAATCCTGGAAGTTTTATTGAGTTCTGTTCAGTGGTTCAAAAGATATTTTGCTAACAAACAAACAAACATGGCAGTCATGGACAAACACCGTTCTAATATTTGTGCATTTAGCGTTTACCCATTTGAAGCTAAAGGTCATGGTGGAGTTTGTTTTCCTTCTTTTTAGAGGCAGTAATTCTGTGTTGATGATGTTTTAAGGCAGCAATTCAAGATATTATGATGTTTCTTTTACAAAAGATTCATTCAGTTCAAGCTGACAACAAATTGTGCACATTCAGAGCTTTATAGAGGCCAAGGTGATGACACCGACATCATAAAAAAGAGAAAATATAAAAGTTAGTTCCATGTTTCACATGAATACAATATTTACTGTTTGAAAAGACTTATTACTGCCAAATGGGCGAGGGGTGGTGGTTCGGGGGAAGGTAGCCTTTAAAACTAAGCAGCTGAGATGTATCTTGAGGTTTTGACTAATAAATATTGGCACATTTCTGTCCCTAGCTACAAGTAAATAGAAAAATAGTTGCATTACCAACTTCCGTTTCAGTGTGTGGCTGCATCTACTGCAGGTGTAAGAAAGGTCGCTATCAAAAATTGGGTTGCCACATCAAAATTCAAGATGGCTTTCGCCAGTGGTGGGCACAGTTTTGCTATCAGCTAATAGTGGAATAAATTTTTTCTTTAGCGGATTAGCATCTTTGCTAACTTTGGAAGCCGTTAGTGGAATTAACTTCGGCTAAATTAGTCTAAAAAAGTTGAGTCAGGTCCTCTGGATGGACGCTTTGTTGAAACGTTTTG